TATATATACATCGACTTGTACAGATACGCTGGGCTTTATTCGATGAGAAGATAGATTTATGTGTCTTTGTACATGTATATCGACTTGTAGAAATATTGTCCGTGGACATGTAACATCTATAAGCAGCCTCTTGCTGATGCTGTACAGATACTGGCACTTTAAGAGAATCGTCTTACAGCTCCGTGTTTCGCCAAGGCTATTCGTGACACATTTTTGACACTTGCTCTGCTTCTAACACTTCTATACCCCAACACGCGCAGCTCCTACTGCTTGCACTATCCCAAGGCCTTTGATTTGGTGCAAACGGTTATCAATAGCCCCGACCGGCCACTCGGACTGGATGCTTTCCTTCGCGAGCGCAACCCTGCCATGGAACAGTCCAAATGTAGGCTACCTATTCGGCATAGGTGTATGGTATTATACGTCATAGGTGTAAGATATTTGAACTATTCTGAAGGTCTGCACTTTGTATTGAAATGTCAAATTATTTTTCTCAAGACAGTAGCAAGTTCCGAACATTTAGTTACTTGTCTATATGTTGTGCCAATAGAAGCTCGTAAACACCTCTGTCTCAATGTAGCTATATATTCAAATATATATTTCAAGCAGCAATACATACACGTCCTTTCGTTTGTATCTTTTCAGCACGATATTGCTGTTATGATAGAATCTTATGATTGTGATATCCACGTAGTTCTCTTTAAAGCATTGTTCTCTAGCTGTTGCACTGAGATGCACATATGTTTAGCTAATACTTCACACTGTCGCATCCTATCCCACTTGTTCTTGTAGTCTTGTATCATATTTTTACCTCCTCAGCTCCTATGGCCTCAATCTTTCCCCACAATCAACAGCGCTTGAGTCCTATCTCATTAAACCAGTACAGCGTGTGCTCAAGTATCCGCTCCTCATGCGAGAACTACACGGCTTTACGGTATGTCGATATAATATGTGTACACTGAGGCATTGCTACTTAGCATGGTGTCAACCCCAGTTTATTTTGTCGCAAAAAAAATTGTTTGCATCACGTCTCCAACCATTTGGGTATGCTAACGAGTTCAAAAATCTGAAAATAATCAACAGGCGCAAACCAGTCCAGATTACCAATCTGTCGAGAGTGCCTTACATTCTATTAAACAGGTACGTGGTAAACCTTTCTGTATATTATACATTACACCTGCAGAGATCGTACTACAGACAAAGTTGTTGGCAGTATGTATCAATTCAGGTCATCATATAAAATAAATCACAAGTCGGTAGTTGTGACACACATAACTTCC